TTTACTGTGAATACTGAAATCTGAAAACCCCTTTAGATTTTCTGCAAATAAGGTAAACTTATTTTACCATTTCCTATTTTTTTTTTTTGTCACTTTCTGAAATCTGGGCTCTTTCTCTCTCTTAAATAGTTAAAAACTTTCAAACTTCCCAGCATTGAAAATTTCTTTTTCTTATGATTTTCCCTGTATTTAGGTAATGTGACTAAGCACTTGCACATATATACATACACCGGTTCATATTAGTTCTGTTTATATTAGTGTTTGAATAAATTTTTTTTTTTTTTTTTGACAGGTTCAAAAAGTTTGTGGCACTACTCAAGAGTTCGGGTTGTTCTGAAGATAAGGATTTTGGGTAGATAATAATTGATTTGAAGAAGTGGGTTTTGCTGGGTTTGAAGAGAAAATGATTGAATCTTTGTATCTAAAATTTTGGTTTTGATTAAGTAAGTTCTTCAGATCTGATTGTTGTCAAAATTGAGGTTTATTCTATTGATTGGGATTGTGCCATTTATTTAAGAAAGTTTTTTTAATTTTTAAGTTTATTTAAGATCTAAAGTGCTCTGAGTTTCAAGATTTTAAATGCTCTCATTAGATCTTTTTAGATATATTTCGGAATTAAACATCTTTCTCATTGTATGATTGCGAGTTCTAATGCTTTAAGATGGATCCTGGTCCTAGAGGAATAAAACTAAAAAAATTCTTATTTTAAGTGCTTTATTCATATAATTTTCTCCGTTAGCTCTTGTAAAATTTAATCATGAGTTCTCTGCTTATGTAATATTTAATCATGAGTTCTCTGCTTATGTAATACTACGTGGATATATTTGTTGGAATAATACTTTAGTTTGTCATCGTCAAATCTTCTTTTTATTGATACTCTGTCTCAGAATAATGTTGCAGCTTATTGATTTCCAAAATTATGCTGTTCTTGATTTTCATATTACTCTTTTTTTCCCCCCTGTAAGAGTTCGATTCTATTCTTTGTTGGTCTGGCACTGCAATGCTGCCCAGTTCTATCTAATAAAATTATAGATAATTTCAGTTACATTTTAGTTCAAATAATGATGTACTCATTTGAAGGTCCTAAATTCATTTCTCTCCATTTCAGATGTGCTTTCCTTTTCAAGAATGCATGGGGATTTTAGCTTATGCGGAATCAAGCGAGGGTAAATATGGATCTTCAGGCAGACAGTTCTAGATTCGGGTCGTTGCCCAATACGACATTGAGGAATCTCTCATCGTCCTCTTCCACATTCTTTTCAGCAAATCAATCGCCCTTCTTCTCCCCAAGATCACCAACGGGTCGGTTATCAACACATTCCAACAATCCATGTCACGGTGCTAGTACAAATACGTGTTTGGCGACTCCAGAACCGGAATCTTTAACAAACAACAGATTTGCCTCTAATGATGTTTGTCCTGTTTCAGCAGCTTGTACCTCAAATGATTTGCGGAAGGTAGATCTTGTTTCTGCTTCAACCTGCATATCAAATAGTCCTTTATCGAGTTATAGTATTGGTCATGATGGTTTCACAAGAAATAGGGGTAAAAGCAAAAAGATTGGAAGATTGGTTGAAACTATGGTTCCTCCAACTTCTTTTTCTTCTAATAGACTCAGGAGTTGCGACGTGTACATAGGCTTCCATGGCCACAAACCTTTATTGCTTAAGTTTACTAATTGGCTTCGGGCAGAGTTAGAAGTTCAAGGGTTAAGTTGTTTTGTATCGGACAGAGCTCGGTGTAGGAATTCGCGAAAGCACAGCATTGTTGAGAAGGCAATGGATGGTAGTACATTTGGGGTTGTTATTTTGACGAGAAAGTCATTCAGAAATCCGTACACCATTGAAGAGCTCCGGTTCTTCTCGAGCAAGAAGAATTTGGTTCCTGTATACTTTGATTTGGGTCCAGATGACTGCCTTGTGAGAGATATAATTGAGAAAAGGGGAGAGCTGTGGGAAAAACATGGCGGTGAACTGTGGCTGCTTTATGGAGGACTCGAGAAAGAATGGAAAGATGCCGTGAGCGCCCTTTCTCGTGTTGATGAGTGGAAACTAGAGGCTCATGAAGGAAAATGGAGGGACTGTATATTGAGAGCTGTCACTCTTTTGGCATTCAGGTTAGGTAGGAGAAGTATTGTAGATAGAGTAACTAAGTGGAGAGAGAAGGCCGAACAAGAGGAGTTCCCTTTCCCTCGAAATGAGAATTTCATTGGTCGGAAAAAGGAGTTATCTGAGCTGGAATTCATGCTTTTTGGTGATGTCAGTGGAGATGCAGAGAGAGACTATTTTGAACTCAAGGCCAAACCGAAACGAAAGAACTTGATGATTGGTTGGAGTAGGAGTAATTCGGTGGATGAAAAGCGAAAGGAAAGATACAGTGAAAGTAGCAAGAGAAAGGGGAAAGAACCGATTGTATGGAAGGAATCGGAGAAGGAAATTGAAATGCAAAGCACTGAATTTTCTCAACATACACCAAAGCTAAAGAGCACTGGAAAGCACGGGAGGAGATTGAGATCGACGAAAGTTTTGTATGGCAAGGGAATTGCTTGTGTGTCAGGAGACTCGGGCATTGGGAAGACAGAGCTACTTCTTGAGTTTGCTTACAGATTCCATCAGAGGTACAAAATGGTTCTATGGATAGGAGGGGAAAGCAGATACATTCGGCAGAATTATTTAAACCTGTGGTCATTTTTAGAAGTCGACGTAGGGGTGGATAATTGCATGGAAAAGAGCCGGACAAAGAGCTTTGAAGAACAAGAAGAGGCAGCCATAGCCAGAGTTCGAAAGGAGCTCATGAGAAACATTCCTTTTCTTGTGGTGATCGATAATCTAGAGAGTGAGAAGGACTGGTGGGACCACAAACTCATAATGGATCTACTTCCCCGGTTTGGTGGGGAAACCCATGTTATTATATCCACACGCCTCTCTCGTGTAATGAACCTGGAGCCATTGAGACTTTCTTACCTGTCAGAGGTAGAGGCAATGTCTTTAATGCAGGGATGCGTTAAGGATCTCTCAGTTACAGAGATCGATGCATTACGGGCTATCGAGGATAAACTTGGGAGGTTAACTCTTGGACTTGCTATTGTGGGAGCAATATTGTCCGAGCTTCCTATAAATCCGAGCAGGCTATTGGATACCATAAATCGGATATTGTCAAGGGACACAACAAGGAATGGAAGGGAAAATCACTTACTGCGGAGGAATAATTTCCTTTCGCAACTCTTTGAGGTTTGTTTTTCCATATTTGACCATGCAGATGGACCGAGGAGTTTGGCGACTAGAATGGTCCTGGCAAGTGGTTGGTTTGCACCTGCTCCAATTCCGGTATCTGTTTTAGCATTGGCAGCTCATAAAATACCTGAGAAACACCAACGACGCCGGTTATGGAAAAAGATTCTGCGTTCCTTAACTTGTGGCTTCACATCATCATACGCTCGAAGATCAGAAGCTGAAGCATCTTCATTATTAATAAGATTTAATATTGGACGAACTTGTACTAAGGAAGGTTACATTCATTTCAACCAGCTTGTCAAAATTTATGCAAAGAAGAGAGGAATCACTGGAGTTGCTCAAGCCATGGCACGTGCTGTCATTAGTCGAGGGTCAATATCTCATCACTCTGAACACATATGGGCAGCATGTTTCTTGCTTTTCGGGTTCGGAAAAGACCCTGTAGTAGTCGAGCTTAAGGTGTCTGAATTATTGTTTCTTGTGAAAGAAGTAATCTTGCCACTTGGTATTAGGACATTTGTTACCTTCTCAAGATGCAGCGTGGCTTTAGAACTCCTTCGACTCTGTACAGATGCATTAGAAGCCGCAGATCAAGCATTTGTCACCCCAGTCGAGAAATGGTTGGATAAGTCACTTTGTTGGAAGCCTATTCAAACCAGTGCCCAACTGAATCCGTACCTTTGGCAGGACCTCGCATTGGCACGAGCTACTGTGTTGGAAGTCCGGGCTAAGCTAATGCTACGAGGGGGACAGTTCGATATAGGGGACGATCTCATTAGGAAGGCTATTTTTATTAGAACTTCAATATGTGGTGAAAATCATCCCGACACGATATCTGCTCGGGAAACGCTTAGTAAACTTACAAGACTCCTTGCTAATGTTCAAAGTCATAC